CTGTCGGTATAAAAGCCGGCGGCAGTGGCCTAGAGAAGGCAGTTATAAATATACAGTTGACGCGCTAAAATTCAAAATAAATTCTTAGTTATAAATCGTTTGTAAATAGTTCTATAAGTCGTTTATCGTTATTAGTTTGTTAATTAGTGTTAAATAAATAGTGTTTAAAATAAATTGTGACTTTCTATCCACACGGAACCGACGAAAAACGTAACAATATATATATGATATATATATATATATATATATATATATATATATATATATATATATATATATATATATATTATATATATATATAATAAAATTATATAAGAGTTTCTTGCCTTGAACTGCTAATATATAGAAATTAATTCACACGTTATGTTCGACATAATGTGGATCAACCTGCTCTCACTACCGGTTTCGGGGCCCTACCCCATCATCAGGTGAGCTTGGGTATTTCCACAATATGTCGAGCACAGCGCGGAAATATATCAGCACGACTTGTCGTCGTGGCAGAAGCCAGATATTAAGTCCGCATCGCGAGATAGCGGCCTGCGTGCAATGGTAGTACTTTCGTACCACCGAGGCACAACTATCGATAGTAAATAAAGGCTTTTTTCGGCTAGCCCAAATTATATATTGGAAAATAAATTTCTTGCAGTTTCTATATTAGCAGTTCAAGGCAAGAAACTCTTATATAATTTTATTATATACCTAAAAACTGCAAGAAATTTATTTTCCAATATATAATTTGGGCTAGCCGAAAAAAGCCTTTATTTACTATCGATAGTTGTGCCTCGGTGGTACGAAAGTACTACCATTGCACGCAGGCCGCTATCTCGCGATGCGGGACTTAATATCTTACCGCTACTTTACGACAAGTCGTGTTTATATACTCTGCGCTGTGCTCGACATATTGTGGAAACAACCCAAGCTCACCTGATGATGGGGTAGGGCCCCGAAACCGGTAGTGAGAGCAGGTTGATCCACATTATGTCGAACACAGCGTGGAATTAATTTCTATATTAGCAGTTCAAGGCAAGAAACTCTTATATATTTTATTATATACCTAAAACTACCAAGAAATTTATTTTCCAATATATATATATATATATATATATATATATATATATATATATATATATATATATATATATAATATATATATATATATATATATATGCTATATATATATATATATATATATATATATATATATATATATATATATATATATATATATATATATATATATATATATATATATATATATATATATATATATATATATATATATATATAATTTTCCCCCTGCTAAATAAATGTATAGTATTTTAGATACCAAGAATAAAGAATTTTCGCAGCGTTTTTCGAAGAGTTTTCTTTGACTTGAGCGAACCCCTAACCCCTTATAAGAGTTTTGTTACAATTGTCATAAATTAGTGTTTTATTTTGCTGTTGTAACACGAAAGCTTCCAACCATCAACTGTAATCTTATAGCATAGTAAAAGGAAAAAAGTAGTTGCACTCTCCCAAATATTTTCTGCCAGTTTTTACAATCTGTCGAATATCGGCAGATTGCAGAGCGTTTCAGTTGAGGTCCGTCCGACGACCTGTGAGGTTCGAGTGTTGCGTCCCAGCACAGAGACGGATTGACAAAAAATGGCCTTACTGTGTGCTGCTATTGGTTGTAGTAATAATTCCAAAAATTGTGCTTTGAGTTTTTTTGTGAGTCATTTGTGATCATGTTTGTGTTCAGGTTAATTTTCTAATGACTGATTACTACTTAATAATTTGATATTATTTTCATCTAAACCTCCATTTTTTATCGATTTTACTTTTGACAACCATCCCTTGCTTGCTGTTTAACGAACTGCATCATCATTGAACAAAATTTGCTAGTAAGAGTACCGAAAAAAAACTGGAAATCCGGGTTCCGAAAAACAGCTCCGGTTCCGGAAACGCTACGTGAATCGTCCTATACAGGGTGAGTCTTAAATAAGTGCCAATATATTTGGAGTAGTATATTTTGACCCCAGAAATATGAGGATTTTTCTGCGCAATTTAAAAAAAATCTGGAATTGTTTTTAGTTTTTAGTTAAAAAAGATAATTTCTTGATAATATGGTAACTAGGGTTCAGAACCGGAAATTCCCGGTTCTTTTGAGATATCAAAGAACCGGGACTCGAAATTATTAATTCCCGGTACCTTCAGGACTCGGTAACAATAACTAAAAAAATTATTATTTTATTACGTGAGAAAGTAGTGATGCTATTTCTCTTTGGTCTTTCTTCTTTTCTCTTTTGAAATTTCTGTAATGTTTATTAGCAATTATTGAAGTTTAAATATGTTATTTTATTATTTAGTACAATGTGTTGTTCAATGGTTATTAGTTTTCAAATGAAAATTAATAACCAATATATTACTATAAACAAACGCATTAATGTTAAATTAAACTTGTTTTAAATTTAAAAAAAAGTAGTAGAAAATTTTTGAAATAGATAATAATATAAAAATATCTCATAATATATTTTTTTCGCATTTCTTTCCATCAGAAGATTTTCAGATACAGAAGAATTGTTATTTACACGAAATGTGAAAATATTCTGTTTTCAAGCAAATTTTTACTGGATGATCAATTTTTTTTTATTTTATTTTATTGTGAACTCAAATTTTCCTAAATACATCTTTGTGAAACTATGGCGAGTGCCACGACTATACTTTGCCTAGTTATAGTCCACGACTATACAGCTACGTCAGTGGTCACGGGACGCGAGAACAAGGTCATATAAAGTGACAGAAAAAGAACAAAGGATTTGACAAGGAGTAAAGCTACTAGTTTACCTTATACTATGCTTATAGTTAGTCTAGCGCTAATCCTAAATACACTAATTTTTTTTCAGGAAAAGGATTTTACACAAAAAATTTTATTTCATAAAAAAATAAGTTAATTACAAGAAATCTTAAACCGCACCATCACTGTTTAAAATAAATAAACGAATTTCTAATATAATAAAAATAAATAACTATTAAACTCCCGTACATTTTGTCATCCTTGCAATGCAACTATAATAAAAATTAATCAGAATTAAAATTTTAGTATAATAGAACGTAACGCTTTAATAACAGAGTAAAAAAACGTTATGCCAAGTTTCATTGATATAAAAATTAAAGGTTTAAAACAATGTAACGAAATGGATGTAACAAACGCTGCACTATTTTTTTGCTAGTAATATTAATTAATTGTTCTGTTGCGGCTGCGACTGATTTTCAAAGATCGACAAAACTAATTTATACCCAATAAAAAACAAATTAGCGGTTATAATTTGTTACAGACTCATTAAAAAACAAGATTAAAAGGAATATAACAATATTCTATTTATCATTGGAAGCTATAAATTTTGTTAATAGATAAATACCATACGATGGAGAGAAAAAAAAGGCGTCAAAGACGGCTAGGGATTTACAGTCGATGATAATTTTGGCGAGGTCGAGCCCTAGATGTCGTTTACTTGGCCCGTACTCTTCTGTATTTCAATCGATTTTACCGTTTTTGAGGCCGTTTTTTTAATACGGTACAACACAACGTTTATTGATATTGTTTTCATGTGGTAAAAATATATAAATAACGGTAATCACAATAAATTATTAGTTACTACGTAGGTATTATTATAAAAAGTTTTCTCTAATCTTAGTTACTTAGTTTTCCCATCTTAATTTGTGTGTATTAAATATAGCATTTTTTTTAACTTAAAATAGCAATGACCATGATGCAATATTTTGAGATTATATAGAATCAATTTGCGATTTACCAAGGTTTTGCTTATTTAATCAAACATTTTTTCAATTATCTATTATATTTACAGGGTGAATTTTAAATAGGTGCAGAAATTATCGGCTGGTTTTGCCGTTTTTCAAATAAGTCCAAAATAGCTGAATTATTTTACATAGAAAATTCAAAAAATATGTATATTTTGTCAAATTTTGTAATTTAACCTACTGCCTATTTTGTCGTATTATCGAGATATTATATTTTTTAAAGGAAAAATTTGCGAAAAAAATCTCACAGTTGTAACTTTTTTAGAATTTGCCCTGTATAATTAACAAAAAAATGTAATCAATGTAAAAAAATCTAATTAAAAGCGTAAAAACTACTAAATCTCGAAAGTGTCAATTAAATTGTGATTTATAGTACACATATTTTTTGAAAATTCTAACCTGGAAAATAATTTAACTTTATATTAAGTTATACAGGGTGTTTCAAAAAACATGTACCATCTCTCGTAAGGAGATTCCTCACGTAAAAATAAGATTTATTTTTCATATCTACATGGGTGGATTTTTTTAGAAAAATATCCCTGTGATAATCCACATGTTAAAATGAACCTATATAACCGAGAAAAAAATATCCTCGGAAGGCAGGAGTTTTAGCTCAATTTTAAAAGGTGTCGGTGAACAATTCAAAGCTTTCCATTTAAATAACCACCATTAACCATTTAATTCCATAGGTTAGTTTTTTTGGCTCATCCTAATATGCACGTCCCTGGTGAATATATTTCATCCCTTTTTTAGCATTAAAATATGTCACACTTATAGTAACTTTTACCCTCAAAATTTCATTCAAATCGTTAAAAGCACTTGGAAGAAAATCAAAATAAATCGAAAAAAGATGAAGACTTTAACACCCTGTAGCTATGAAGCAAAGCAGAATCGGATCTATGTTATTATGAAAAATAAATTTTATTTTCACGAAGAGGAAAAATAAGATTTCCCAAGGAGAGTTGGCACACGCCTTTTGAAACACTCTGTAGTTCAAAATACAATGAGTGGCGGTAAAAATTATATCGCAATTTACAAATAAATAATACTTACAGTAAAAATTATGTTGATTTATTTGCTGATTGTTAAACTGAATAAAACTGACTAAATTTTACACGACTCTTGAGTCTAATAGAGCGAGTTGTAAAGAAGTCAAAAATACACTAAATTAGGTCTTAGTTCCTAACATAACTTACCATTGACAAAATTGTCAAATCCAGATTAGTCTGATCACAGCACACGCGATATTTTGGAGAAAGAAGCATAAATAATACGTTTTAACGTTAATACGAATTGTATATGTACCGCACCGCTAGCTGTATGAGATGAAGGTTTTATTTGAAATAGTGAGTTCCTGTTATGGAGCAGTAATAAAAGTAGGTACCGATAATGTTATGGTATAACGTTTTTGCATCACAAAGATTAAAGTATAACTTTTAGTAATAAATAAAACGTATTGTATTTTTTATTATAATTAAGTAAATATTATTATATTGAATATAAATTAAAATATACAGGGTGCATCTTAAATAAGTGCAAATATTTTTAAGCATAGTATATTTCGACCCCAAAAACACGTCCATGAGCTTTTTTTTCTTGAAAAAAAAATTTTAAATTTGGATTTTCTTTAATTTATTTTTAATTTTTAGTTAAAAAAGTTAATATCTTCATAATATGGCAATATGCGTAGTAGATTAAATTTACAAGAAGGAAAACCCAAAAAAGATCCAGTGGTTTTCAAAATTTAAGCAAAATATGTTTGCATTTATTTAAGACTCACCCTGTATAACTTCAGTTGATCGAAACTACGACCGGAACTTTTTTCTATGATCAGAATGTTATTACGGTTTTAATAGACGTTCCTGTCAATTTAGTACAAATTGAATTAATGTGGTCTTGAAATACTTACATTGTATATGTTATGCATTATATATTTTTTCTTTATTCTTTTTGTTTTACTTCTGTAGAAAGGGTTGATATACCTCTGAAACCTTAAGCAGTTTTTTACCTCTGATGAGATTTACCCCCTGAAACTTTAAGCATTTTTTCTTAGTTAAGCGATTTTGTTTTCTAGTAAAAAAGCTACTGATAAGCTGATTTTTGCTTCTGATGACAGGGAGAGATATACCCCCTGAAACCTTAAGCATTTTTTCTTTGAGTAAAAAAACAACTGATAAGCTGTTTTTTTTTATTCTGACGACAAGGAGAGATATACCCCCCAAAACCTTAAGCAGTTTTTCTTAGTTTAGCAATTTATTTTTGAGTAAAAAAACTACTGATAAACTGTTTTTTTGCTTCTGACGACAAGGAGAGATATCCCCCTGAAACCTTAAGCATTTTTTCTTGTTCAGTTTTGTTTTTCCGAGTAAAAAAGCTACTGATAAGCTGGTTTTTTACTTCTGACGACTTGGACAGGGGGAGATATACCCCCTGAAACCTTAAGCATTTTTTCTTAGTTAGGCTATTTATTTTAGAGTAAAACAAACTACTGATAAGCTGGTTTTTTTTTGCTTCTAACGACAAGGAGAGATATATATACCCCCCAAAACCTTAAGTATTTTTTCTTAGTTTAGCAATTTTTTTTTCGTGGAAAACAGCTACTGATAAGCTGGTTTTTTACTTCTGATGACAGGGGGAGATCCGCCCTCTGGAACCTCAAGCATTTTTTCTTAGTTAAGCAATTTTGTTTCCTAGCAAAAAAAAAGCTACGGATAAGCCGTTTTTTTACTTCTTTAAGGAGGAGAATTATCCCCTGAAACCTTAAAATTTTTTTTTAGTTAGGCAATTTTGCTGTTGAGTCAAAAAGCTACTGATAAGCTGGTTTTTGGCTTCTGACGACAGGTAGAGATATACCCCCTGAAACCTTAAGCATTTTTTCTTTGTTAGGCAATTTGTTTAAAAAAAACTACTGATAAGCTGTTTTTTTTTTTACTTTTGATGACAGGGGGAGATCCGCCCTCTCAAACCTTAAGCATTTTTTCTTAGTTAAGCAATTTTGTTTTTTAGCAAAAAAGCTACGGATAAGCTGTTTTTTACTTCTTTTAGGAGGAGAATTATCCCCTGAACCCTTAAATTTTATTTCTTAGTTAGGCAATTTTGCTTTTGAGTCAAAAGCTACTGATAAACTGTTTTTGGCTTCTGACGACAGGGAGAGATACCCCCTGAGACCATAAGCATTTTTTCTTGTGCAATTTTGTTTCCGAGTAAAAAAGCTACTGATAAGCTGTTTTTTTGCTTCTGACGACAGGAGGAGATATACCCCCTAAAACCTTAAGCATTTTTTCTTAGTTAGGCAATTTTATTTTCGAGTAAAATGCTACTGATAAGCTGATTTTTTACTTCTGACGACAAGGAGAGATATACCCCCTAAAACATTAAGCATTTTTCTTAGTTAATCAGGACTTTTTACTTCTGATGACAGGAGGAAATTTATCCCCTGAAATTTTTTTCTTAGTTAGGCAATTTTGTTTTTGAGTCAGAAAGCTACTGATAAGCTGGTTTTTGGCTTCTGATGACAGGAGAGATATACCCCCTGAAACGTTAAGAGTCCATTTCACTAGTCCGAAAAAGTAGCAAAATAAGCATTCGGAATTTAACGTTTTATGTAAAAGTGAAGAAGGAAATTAAAGATAGAGGATTATACTATATCCGTATTTTGAGATTTTGATGGTCAAACATCAACAAAATATTTCTTATGTTTGGACTAAATTTTCTCGAAAATAAAGATATAATTTAAAATTCTGTTACAATACGGTAATAGACTGAAGTTTTGTGATTACAGTGATATATAATTTATATGGTTTTGTAACAAATTGCTCGCTATTTTATGGCAAATGCTGAAGCTCTGCAAACCTTAATCAAGCCTTAATCAAAGCACGTGTGTTTGAAATTTTGGGTATGGCTTAACACGACTAAGCCTTGGGCAGATTTCTGAAATATAATATATATTTCCTTCGGCCACACACCCGTTTTACCCGACCCCTGAGAGCGACCCGAATAGTACAGCGTAATGAACTCTTAAGCATTTTTCTTAGGTAAACAAAACTGACTGTGAAATTATTTTAAGAAAATTATACTTGTATAACAATAAAAATTGTTATTCGTTTTTATTTGCAAAAACCTTAAATCTACAAGGTAATGTACAACCGCATTAAATTAAGTAGGTACCTATAGGAACTATAGGATTTTATCTAGCTACTATTTTATGTTATTTTTAATACCGTAGAAAACAATACCGTTTAAACCTGAAATATATATGTTGACTCTGCTAAAACTATAACATCGTCGTTCCCCATGTGACTTCCGATTTAGTAAACCGGAAGGCCCTTTGTTAGTTTTACTGCGTTTTGAATAAAACTGGTAATTATTCTTTTCCTATGAGCTATTTGCAATGACGTGACCGTTCCGAATAGAAGCATCGATGTTTTGAACTTTGTAGCAATGCCGTTTTGTTTTAATTTATGTTCATTTAACATTTTTGTTTCGTTTTCGTTTCGGGTAAAACTGTTCATTTTCATCAAAAAACATACAACGTAAAAAAATATACAGCTAGTTACATATTTAGTAGAGGATCCCTTTGCAGGATTATTACCATCATCTTATTTCTAATCAAAGCCTAGTTTTTACGTATATTTATGAATAGGGGATAAACTTTTAAGAGGGTGCCAATAAAAAACTTGTCGCAAATATGTTTAATATACAGGGTGCTACAAAGTTGGGGTACGAGTATTTGGTATCTCGGTAACCGTATTAGATACGAACATGGTTAAATTGGGGCAAAGTTGCGCTTTGGGATGTTCACAAAGATGTCATCTAAAAAGTTTTAAAAATTTCAAGGACTGCCGAGTTTTTTGGAAAAAATGGATTTTTTTGAAAATCAATTTTATTTTTTCCTCTTGTTACTTTTTAGAAAATCAAAAAACTAATTGCATATTCTCATAGCCACTTTATGAAGGCTACCTGGTAGTATTTTTAGATTTTAAATTTAGCTGATAATTTGTGAGATTCAGAGGCCAATATATTTTTTTTAAATACGGACCTGCATTTTTTATTTCAGGTTTTGAAAGAACTCGGTCTCCTGAGTACAATGATATGCCACACTTTATACTTTTTTTGTTTTGGGTACCTTAACAACAACAAAACTATTTAATTATTATTTAAAATAATTTCAAGTCCGACTCTGTTTTTATAAATTATTTAATCTGATTATATTCATCGCAACAATATTTATAAGCCCTAATTAACATTGAATAAGGAAAATCGAGCCAATTGGAAGATTCAAAAAAATAATATGTAGGTCAGTAATTTAAAGATATTTTTATTTTTTTTTATTGTGGATTTGAAATCTCATTGTACGATCTAATAATATGCATAATATTAATCGTAGTTATTATAAATAAATCAACTTCTACAAACTAGTTTCTAATGCTCCACATGTTCGAAAGGGCTACCACCGCGAGATGGTACCACGCACTCCCTATAGCACAAATTTATTTTTTGTTAAATTTTATTTATAACTCTTTGAACTTTCTTCTTCTACTTCCATACATTTTGTACTTTTTATTGTAAATATTGAGATGTATTAATAATAGTTCTTTCAAAATGAAATAAAAAATGCAGGTCTGTATTTAAAAAAATTAAGTTGGCCTCTGTATCTCACAAATTATCAGCTAATTTGAAAATCTAAAAATACTATCCGATAGCCCTAATAGAGTGGCTATGAGAATGTGCAATTAGATTTTTGATTTTCTAAAAAGTAACGACAGGAAAAAATAAAATTATTGATTTTCCAAAAAATCCGTTTTTTCCAAAAAACAGCAATCCTTGATCTTCGAAACTCTTAATGGCATCTTGGTGAACATCCCAAGGCGCAACTTTGCCCCAATTTCACCAACTTCATATCTATTGCGGTTTCCGAGATACCAATGCTCGTACCTCGAATTTGTAGCACCCTGTATATATTATATATATTAAATATACAAGGAGATTAAAAATTAATTTTATAGTCTTCCGAATAGAAAACGGTATATTTTTTTGTTCAATGGATTTGCACTAATATTTGAATAAAACCATTTCTTTCTACATCATAATCCGAGTCATAATCTAACCGGAGTAAGTATTGAAATATGATCATTCAACACATTTAGACAAAGTTCTAATAAAATTGATAAATTGTAAATTACTGATGATACTTTTCTGTAAATTAGGGATGAACTCAGGGGCGGATACAGGAATTTATTTTAGGGGGGGGCCAAAACAAAAAGTAATATAGAATATGCCTTTTAGGGCGCCATTTTTAACAAAAAAGCCTAATATTTAACACAATTTACAGATTTTAGGGGGGGCCCGGGCTCCATGGGCCCCCCTCTGTATCCGCCATTGGATAAACTGCAACCAAAAATTCGAATTTGTTAAAGACGAACTAATAATACAATAATTCACCCCTTATTCACTGTTTTTAGGTTGATACAGTTAAAATAAATAATCATTATAAGTATATAGTAAGAAAATTAGTGGATAAATGGTTATTTTGCAATTATCAAAAAAAAATATCAAATACAAATACCGTTTTCCAGAACAATTGGTCACTATGTATAGATAAACACAATATATACGGGGTGTTTCAAAAAACGTGCCATCTCTCGTGGGGAGATTCCCTCACGTAAATAAGATTTATTTTTCATATCAACATAGGTCTGATTCTGCTTTGTTTCGTAGCTACAGGGTGTTAAAATCTTAAAATGTTTTCGATTTATTATAATTTTCTTCCAAGTACTTTTAGCGTTCTGAATGAAATTTTGAGGGTAAAAGTTATTATAAGTGCTACATATTTTAATGCTAAAAAAGTGGAGAAAAATTCATCAGGGACGTGCGTATGCATGGGTTATCACTAGAATATTTTTCAAGAAAAAACATATGCGAAACTGACTTTTTTCTTTTGATATTAAAATTTTGTAGGCCGTTTAATGCCAATTAAAAGTTATCTCTTGATATTTTGTCGAACTCGGCCTTCTTGATGAGATAAACGCAATTTTATTAATCACAATTAATAAATTAAAAATAAAATTAATAAATTATATATTTTACCTAATTTTTATTAAATATTATTACTATTAGTTATTATTACTATTAGTCCAACCTACAGCAATTTAAAATAAAAAATAATGGTATTTAAACACTATTTTAGCGTTAAAATATGTCGCATTTATAGAAACTTTTACCCATTAGCGTAACTAGCAATTCATCCAGGGGGGCTGGGGTGACCACAGGGGGCCTGGGGCTTTTGTTTTTTACAAAATGAAGAATGGCACATGTTTTTTGAAGCACCCTGTATAAGTCAATTATAAAGAAATAAAATTAAAATTTAAAATTTATTTTTTGTTTATGTTTTATATTATACCAGTATATTTTTGAGTTTATTATTTCTTTGTTGGTGTTCTTTGTTTTTATGACCCCACATTTTTCCGCCAAAAATGTACAATCCCACTTAAAAAAGTACAATTTCGACACCATTTAAAGTACAAAATTTTTTGCCCTTGTAACAACGCTGTATATAATGATTCAAGAGGGCAGCACATTCTCGCAACAAATTTTAAATAAGAGAAATTTAATTTCCTCTGGTATTTCTATTAAACTAACCCAATTTGAGATGTTTTTATATTGTTCTATTTGTCAAAATGTATCCTATGAAATAAAGATATCATTTAAGATGCATTAAGAAAAAAATCTAACGTTTTTTAAAAAGTATCAAGGCGATTCCATGAACTTTGTACCCTGGTGGAAATAACAGCTGACTATTTTGATAGAAGCGTCAATTCAATCGCGTCAAGTCAAAGGCAATGTGGATCTTGTGACTGTGGTTTCGGGTTCTTGCTGGTCAGGTTGGATCGAAATAATTTGGCAAAATGAAAAGTGTTTACGAGCTGTTGGTGCTGTGAAAACCCCATTACTCTTTTAATATTATGTGATTAGATAGTGATATAATGCACACTTTATTCGCAACTGGACGCCTTATATCTCGCGCTCTGCTAAATGGAATTCACAATTTTTCTACTGCGACAGATCCGAAGTTACAACAAAAAACTGAGCCTTTTCTCGTTTCTGCCGTTTGTGGATTTTCAAAGGAGAGAAAAATACAAAGACTGGTCAAAGGACAATTCGGCGACGATGCCTGGTTCTCAGCTAAATGCAAATCTGCAGACGTTTTGGGTAAGCTAAGAAATCGCACATAACCTTTTGTTTGTACCATGTGATTATATTTAAAGTTTTGTGTAAATTTACAATAGCTTCTGTTTTCTATATTATGGTAGTTTCAAATATGGTATATATCAACACTTATCAGTCAAAACATAGTGAAACTATGTCTCTGTATGGTCATTTCATAATGACTGCCTAGTTAGTCGAACTAGAAACTAGAGTCAGCAAATTTTCTGTAATATTGATATAATTTTCTGTTTTCCTAGGTGTTGCTGATGGTGTGGGTGGTTGGAGAGCATACGGCATCGACCCAGGTGAATTTTCCCTTCACTTGATGAAGGCTTGTGAACGATTAGTCAATTTAGGTCTGTTCACACCAACCAACCCATCTGAGTTATTAGCTAATAGTTACTACGAACTTTTAAACAATAAGAAAGCTATTCTAGGTAAGTAACCAGTTTTTTATTATTGTTTTTGTATTAGCAAAGAATATTATAGTTTTTGGTTTGGTATTAGTATAGGTATATGTACATCGTAATGAGTAGCTAAAGATAAGTGTATTTCTTAATATTTGAATAAATAAAACATAACATTATTGATTGACGTAAATATTGCTGCTTGTTATAAAAAATATGTTTAGGTTGTTAATGTTATCTTCACATGATATCTTATTGAAATTTTAATGTATACATTTAGATTATTAATACATTTGTGGTATACCAACATAACACTTGCAATTTAGTAAAGAAAGTATAAATTATATTATTTACCCTTATATGGTATGTTTGGTAAATGAAACTTAAATACCAATAAACTTAAATAATTCTCTTTTTCCCATATAATACATTTTCAACATCTAAATGGTGTAGAATTATAGGAAAAATTTGTGTTTTAGTTTATAGGAAATTGTTTTACATTGAGTATAAAGCATTTGATAGAATTGTTTACATTAATCCTAACAATGTCAATTACTGATTGAATAAATAAGGTATTGGGTTGTGGGTAATGTGTGCTTCTCTATGATTCACTTTTATAATGTTTAAACATTATTTATTTTAAGGATTTGCGGTTTTTAAAGGTTTTTTACATTTCAAAACCAATTCTCTGTAATAACTGTATAAATTGGTCATGTTAAAATGCAACTTTTATTCATTTATCCAGCCTGAGTTTTTTAAATGGTTCTTAGTAATCCCATTACTTAAAAGGAAAACATTAACTTGTTGGCTTTTCTTAGATACTATATTAAAAATAAATCAGAAAACAATTTTAGTAGGATTTATTAGAGGTCATCACATCAATATAATTATTTTACTATTGTTGTTACAAACTTTAAGGACTAATAATAAGCACAAGAATTTGTTTATTGTATACCTATGCATAAATAAATATACAAGTGTATTTATATTCATTATTATTATGTATTAATGTGATGTGCGTACTTTTAGCGAAACTCAGTTCTATTTGTGGGTCAAAATAAAAATAGGTTATCTTTCAGTCAGACACTTGGATAATCCACAATAAATCTCAATTACGCTCAGAATATATTTTTTAAATAATGAAAGTCATACTATTTCTTAAAAAATGTTTTAAAACTCCAGTAATTAATAAAAACACAGTTGACATCTAATAAGATTTTTAAAATTAAAGTAGTATATACCTGATAAAATGAATTTTAAGTATTGGATATTGCTTATTATATCATTTAAATATGAGTCGATTCACTGACTTCTTAGATTTGTGATGAAATATTCCTTTAGGCCTGTTCACAAGAGCAATCATCAATTAAGTAGTCATATTCGATTATGATTGTGATCAACGCTATAAACAAATAATCCAGGGAAGGGAACAAATTTTCTATACTATGAATTGATACCTCTATGAGGTAAAAATACATGAAAGTTCATTGTATAGTTTGTCCAACTACTCGGGGAAGATATCGACAGATGACATCCAAAACATAACAGAATACAATTTGCATGTGAATTAAAATGATAGAGACAATTAATTGTCACTAACAGGGATCCTCTTGCTGGACAAGACTATAAAGAATTTAAATTCGATTTTATGTTCCATTCGTTCCTTTATCCACAATAAAAATATTTACCTACCTGATTGTTTTTAATATTAAAATTTATACCGTTCTGCTCATCAAAAACTGCGTGGTCTGGATTTTAACGTGTAAGACAGTGACGTTGGGAGCTTAATGGAAAATCAAATGTATTAAAAAGAAATAAAAGTTGGGTTGATGCATTTCTTCTATGCGGTATTGCCGGATTTTGCATCAAAATTTCAAACCGCACAAGTAGGCGTTTATGAAAAATGTTGCATCTAGAGTTGGAACCTTTAGTTACTCATTCTACTACAGCTGTAATCTACATATATAAAATGCTAATGTTTATCTGTGTCGTCTCTACTGAAGTAACGACTTGCTCTAGAAAGTTGCTTTTTTTACTAAAAGGTAGCTAATTGGCTCTTCTAAAAACTGTCGTCGCCGGATTTTTGTTTTTCATTTAATTAAACAAAAAATAAAAAGTATTATTTTTTCTGATGTCCTGGCGGATGCGTCAGGCTTCAGCTAGTATATTATATTTAGCTTAGATATATTATCTTTATTTCAGTAGTATACATGAAAGTCCTTAAAATAATTTATTTTTTTCTACACACATTTTCCTACAAACGGAAAAACCGGCAACACTGTATGTGGCTTTTTTATTTTGTCTCTTTATCTCTCAACCGGTCGTTTATATTTATCTCTGTCGCATTCATTAAAATACAGACCATGCAGGTGGACCTGGGCTAGTACACCAAAGGACTTTTTTAAGTTACTAAGAAATTATTTAATTGAGGAAGTTTGTTTATAACTGCATTTTATATAATATCTTTTAATATGCACCAGTTTTGGTTACATCAATTTGGATTGGACCAGTGTTGATTAACAGACCTATTTGTGTTGTTGAATGTACCCATATGTGTGAAAAGCTGCTGGTGCTAATTTTAGATCATTTAACTATTTACGGTCTTATAAATATATTTAGTTTTACGAATTTTTTTGGATAAAAAACAGGAAATTACTGTAATAAGTGTAATATGACGATTTGAGAGGTTTATCTTTATTAGTATATCTGCATAATTCGGGTTTATAAATAAATTATATGCATTTACACGGGGATGCAGGTATTTTATCATACGATTTTTGAACAATGATTAGTTATCTTTAGCCATTTTAAAAATGCGATAAAACACTTATTAGATTTACTGAAATCTTAATACATATTACGTATGCTTATTATTCAGCATTTTTGAGTAACATAAGTGCATCCTAAAATATTTTTTGTATTTTTATATTTAAAAATTATTTTTTTTAAATAATGCATAGTTCTGTTAAATGGAATGGAATGGAAAAAAACGGCGTCAAAAACGGTTTCGGAATGATTATCGATGATAATTTTGCCGAGGTCAAGCTTTAGATGTCATAACTTAACCCGTACTCTTCTTTATTTTTAATGGCGCTTCTACTGCCAGTTGGCCTTAAGAAGCTTGTTATTTATTTTTATATTGAGTAAAAATGATTTTTAACTGGTGTAATTAAAAATTCGAGATAAAATATTTTTTTTGGAAATACTTTTGTGTGTCTGAAAGCATTCTATCCATTTATAATTTTTAATTTTAATTTTGACAAGTTTAATGTCAATTTTTAGCAAATGACTTCTATAGATTGACCTAGCCAAAGTTATTGATGGTCATTCCCCAGCCGAGCATACGGTGTAAATTATAGTCTGTCCAACTGACTTTAAAATGACGATCGATAATAACTTCTTTCGAGCAGACCTTTATAGGTATGCAATTTATTAAACTAACAATCATTTGTTGAAATTTAAATTAGAGTATCTTTTAAATTAAATACTTATTTAGTTTAGACAAATTTTTATGTCAGTTTTTAATAAATGACATATAGAGGATAGTCCCACAGAAATTATTATTGATTGTCATTTCAAAAGCCGCACTGACCACTCTTTTTTTTTCGATCGTATTGTATTCTCTTCTGACCAGGCTATATTGGTACAAAATATTTTTTTGTCTTATACTGTACTAATCTAAATGAGTTTAGTTATTCACAAAACCAAATAAAAAATTTAAAGTACATACAGTAAAATGTACATAACTTTTTTGTCATGTTTGCTTGTATTAATACAAATTGAGCGGAGTGTCGCTAATAAAAAAGGTCATTTAAATAATTCTCCACGCATTCCTAACAGAAAAAAACCAAAATATCGTAACGGCACAATGAAACAAGGCGCGTGATCCGTGTTGATCATGTGAAATCGTACCGACGAAAATAGAATTTTAAACTTTGCAGTTCTTGATTCTGATTGACTGTGCGTATTTATTCTACCTATAGAATCGGTGCCAAAAATTATATATACTTAAATATTCTTAATTTTTTGGATTTTTTAATTAGATGCCTACGTCATCATTTTATCTCAGTGACATTTAACAATACGGTAAAGTTTTTTTAAACCAGATTTCTCTATTTACTTTCAGCTTACTATTACTATATTATTTGTTCCTTTACTCCTCCAAATTCTTGGTCTCGATCTTAAGCCCCCCACAGACGCTCAGTATTTTCGCACTGGTCGCTTGTGCAAACCTGATTTGTGCAGGTATATCGTGATTCCGCCCGACTGCGACTGTGCCTAGCAGGCTGTTGGCCTGACCTGAGGCCTGATCTCTGTCAGGTGATTTGTGCAGGTATACCGGCACGTGTGTGGGAACTCCCTGTCAACTATACCAAAGCCAAAACATAATATGTGTGCCTATTATTTTTTTTTTACTTTTTCAGTTTTCTGTTTAGTCCGTAAAGTTCAATCTATTATTAACTGGAAACGAAATGCCGATTTGTAGTAAACAGTTTTTATGCCAATTTATTGAACTATATTAAAGCATGTTATGTTTATGAAAAATTAAAAATACGGATATTGTGACAGGTGACAGAAACACAAAATGTCCGCAGCATATGAAGTTTTGGTAAAAAAACTAAAGGAAATTTAGTCGGAAGCAAATAGCGAAGTAGTTATTAAAAATATTACTTAATAACTTAAGAGCGCGTTTAGAAAAGAACTAAAGAAATTTTTTTGAAAAGCAATTTAGCAATTAAACTGCTCAAACTGGCCTGCAGAGTCCACCTATGTAAAAGAACCTAGTAGTTTCACCGTTGATTGAAAGAATTGGAAAGATACGCTAGCAAATGGGCTAATTCGTGACAAGGCTGATGTGATTTCCTCTTGCGTCTCAAGTGCTGTACAGTAGAGACACCAATCGTTCTGAGGCCAAAGCATAAAACACTTATTAACATTGGAAATCTTATACATCGGGTAAAAACGGAAACCCTGACTTCGCTGTCCGTCCGTCCGTCTGTCACAAAGGTCTATCTTATGAACCGTTATAG